ACCTCACAATGCACCCTCACGTTGACTTTTCCTCCTTCTCTAATTCTCCCAAATACCTCACTCCTGCTTCCTGGGACAACACCCCAAATATACCCAACTACTCCCAAGTCCTTGCCTCAGACTCTGCTTTGGGGAAACCTAACTAAGACAAATAAGTTATCAAATTATACGATTTTTATTTCATCTATCCTGGGGTATTTTAAAGCATTTAAAGTATTTTAAAGTTTGGATTTTTTTTTTAATTTAGTAGAAATAGGAAGGAAAGAAACCAGTTCAATATAGAAGTTGATCTGTGGTCAAGCTGTGCATCACCAAGGTAGACCTATACACCTTGGTGAAATATTGCCCCTAAATCTCATCCCTCTCCCTTATATTAAGTTATTATTAAATATATTATTCTAAATAATATTTTAATATAATGGTGATAAAAATGCGATAGGGTTTCTTTTCAATTTACCTCAACAGTGGTCTATGTGTAGGGGGGCTGCCCATTACGTGGCTCTTGAAAATCAACAATGAGAAACACTGACCATCCAAAGACTCCCCACAGTAGTTCACAGGAGTCTGTGAACGCCTATAAAAATGTAGGCTGACATGTGCACACACATGTGCGTTTCTGCAGGGAAAGGTCTTTCACCAGATCCTAAAGCAAGTCCTTGACCAAAAAAGGGCTAAGAATCACTGATGAAAGGCTATCAGGCATTATGAACCTGACTAGGGATGATTTTTATGGGAGTGGGAGCCTTTCTGGAACTCTTTAAATCATTCTACATGGCTGATCATCATCTTTGCCAAACTGCATGGCTAACCTCATTATGTGAAACTAACTAGAATTGATATGATTACAATGAAAAGATTTTCCCCTCCTCAAGGTCTAGTTTATAAAGAAGAGATTTTTTTTTCCCTCAAGGCCTAGTTTATAATAAAAGGTTTCTTCCCTCCTCAAGGCCTGGTTTTCCACATCTGGATTAGATGATCTGGTCCCAATTTTCTTCTCACAGCTATCTCTCCTAGCCTCAAAGAACTTTTGGGATTTTGCCAATGAACAGGAAAAGGATTTAGATTACAGTACGTGCTTTTTGCAGACTAGCCCTAGTTCTCCCAGATAGCTCTGTACCCTGAACTGGTGCACTTCCAGGAATGTGAGAGATTCAGGGCCAGCTGTCAGTGAAGAAATTCCTTCCACCTGCATCTTGTCCAGCCCTGAAATTACTAACTCAGAAAGGAAGTTGGAAAGTTAAAGAGGCACACTTTCTCTAAAGAGACTTAATTAGGTTTAGCATTTGGGTTTGGGTTTTTCTTTTTTTCTTTCCCTATTAACAAAGAACTATTTGTACATCATAAACACAAGTAGAGGAAGAAAATTACATCTTAAAATCATTTCCACTTAAAAACCAAGACAAAAATGGTACAGGTGGCTTTTTAAAAGGCGGGGGGAAAAACTCCTCCACATAAGCCCTTTTCTTGAATAGGCCTCTAACTAGCCCTCGTGCAGCTGCAAGGACGCATTTAATGTTCCTGTGATTTATTACTCTAAAGAGGATATTCTCAGTCATCATCTGCAGAAGAGGGCCTAGCAGGATGTAGAATGGGAGACTAAGAACACATTGGAAGGAGCTGAATTTTCCATGTGGTTTTCATTTTCTTTTTGATTGTACACTGAAAATCTCTTTTTTAAAGAGTTTTTTAGACACCACAAATATCACAAAGGCACCCTGCTCCTAGGGCGGCTTGCAGCAGGCCTGAGCAAGGAACTGAGCCCACTACGAAGGGGAGGAGCCCAAAACAAGCTCCATATTGAAAGGTAAAGCTTCCTAAAGCCTCCTCTTGGCACAAAATGTCCTCCCTGACTCAAAGACTTATAACTGCTATGGTGTGTCTCCCGACCAAGTCACCATTGGTAGGTAGTAAAGAGCAGCTAACTACATGACAGGGAATGTTCTGGGCCATTTGCTTGGGTTATTTCATTTAACCTCAATTTATCATACCCATTTTACAGATAAGGAAACTTTAGCCAAGGGAAGTTTAATCACTTTACCCAAGGTCACAGAGCCTGTGAAAAGAGAGCCAGGATTTGATCCATGGTTTGTATGATTCCAACAGTAGTGCTTTTAATGACTACATAGTTTTCACCCCTTCCTTTTCTTCTAGGGTCCGTCCCTGACCACAAGTGCCAGGCTTTATACTAGCTCCTGGCTACCTAGGAGCTCTAGCTACCGTAGCTATCTGGCCTGCCTTCAGGACTAATGCCTCATGCATGAAATTTCCCATTTATCCAAATATATCTAACCCCATTGAACTCTGGGTTTCCCATCAAATCTTTAAGAAAAACTATGGCACTTTATATAATGAAAAGCACTTCGGATTCTCTTGGTATTATCTCTAAAATTGCTCTTGTGTATACCCCCCCCACACACACACACATCTTCTCATTGTACTAGTTCACATATATTGAGCATTCACTTTGTGCCAGACATCATGTTAATTACTTCACATGAATTTTCTCATTCAATTCCCCACAGTAACCTTATGAGGTAGCTACTATTATTACTCCTGCTTTACATATGAGAAAACTGAGGCCTAGAAAAATTCCGTCACTTACTCAGGCAACTGGAGGAGCCAGAATTTGAATTCAGTTGTGTTTGACTTGAGAGCCCAAACCTCGAAAGCACTACACTCTACTTACACTCTTCTTACCAGTAATAAGTCACTCTGATAGTATATACCTGTGATATAATGTGGTGAGACCTGCACTTTACTGCTGTGTTGTTTCTCCCAAAATCCATAGCCCCAGCAAATCTTGAGCAGAAACATCAGACAGATATCATTGGAGGGGCGTTTGAAAAAATACCTGACCAGTATTCCTCAGAACAGTCAAGGCCATCAAAAACAAGGAAGAATCCAGGTGACATCTGTGAAAATGGTAGAGTAGGGAACTCCAAAAGTTCATCCCTCCACAAAAGCTATGAATAAACTGCCAAAAACCATCAGAATTAACTTTTTCAGAACTCTGGATACTAATCAAAAGCTTGCAGAAACAGGGGTATATTCAATCAAGAGAAAGCAGCTGGATCTTGCTAAGAGAGATTTGTGGCATTTTAATTTACCTTGGACCCATTCCTTGCTCCCCAGCTCGGCAGTGACCTTGAAGACAACAGCAGCCCACATTCCTGGTATAAGTACCCAGTACCCAGGACAGCAGAACAGACTTTATTCTCAAAGAATTGTGTCTGTTTATTTTAATGTGCCTGGAGACTTCCTGAAAGACCAACTCAAAGGGCCTACCTTTATTTAGACTAACTCAGAACTCTCCCAGGGCTGAGGTGACTACCCAGGGGGGCAATTGTTAAAATCATCTGAAGGCAAACATTAGTAGCTGCCACCTGGGGTAACGCATAACAGTTGGGGAAACAATAGACTAAGCAAAAATCTGGGGAGGAAAGGCTGGGCAATGAGATGCTTTGGGGAATAAGGGCTTTGAAAAGCTTCCACATATTCCTGGGAATCTAGAAGGCCACACGCATGCCCAGGACCGGGCGCATACTCAGAAGACAGCTGAGAAGGCCCTAAGTGCTATATCTGATTGACAGTGTATACTTTTCTTCTTTTTTTTTTAATCTTTTGGCCGCACCACGTGGCCTGTGGGATCTTTGTTCCCCGACCAGGGATCGAACCCACACCCCCTGCATTGGAAGTGCAGAGTCTTAACCACAGAACCACTAGAGAAGTCCCCCAATGTATACATTTTCTTATATAACGTAAAGAAAATTAAACAACATGTATTGTTTGTGACATGAGAAAACATAGAAATGTATTTTCATATCACATTCAGTATACATTTTGGCCACTCACCTCCCCTATTTTTAGTATGCTACTCAGGCTCACAACTGTGCACTCTTACCTTCCATCATGATATGTACAACTGGAAGACAAAACCAAAATTGTCTTCTAGAATGAGTTCCGAAGTCGCCTTGTAACCGAGCAGGACTGTATGGGGCCTTCTGGAGACAGGACCCCCCATCACCACCACCACCAAGTCCTCTGCCTGCCTCTTGTTTGTAGAAAAGCTGAAGTCTCCCAGGCCTCTCCTGAGTCACAAAAGCCTGGATCGAGAATTAATGATTGAAAGGATGTGAACATGTAGTGACAAAAGTAGCAGTTGGGCCAGGAGAATGGATAAGAATTTAAATGGTAAATCAGACATACGGCAGTCACAGAATCTTAAGTTCCTCCCTGAAATACCTAGATAACAGTATCTGATGCACATTTCCTAAGTTGTTTTACAGATGCTAAAATCCTCACCAAATGGAAGAAGTTAACTACATGATGACCATGAGCACAAGCCCCCAGACCTACTGGAGCCTAAGGATTGATAATGTTAACCCCTGTGACACCAACCTGTTACCTCACCATCAACCAATCAGAGAATTGTACACAAGCTGGTCATACACCCTGCGACTCCCCTCCCTCACCTGGCCTTTAAAAATGCTTCCCTGAAACCCGCCGGGGAGTTTGGGCGTTTTGAGCATGAGCCACCCATTCTCCTTGCTTTGCCCTGCAATAAACCTTTCTCTGCTCCAAACTCTGATGTTCCAGTTTGTTTGGCCTCACTGTGCATTAGGCACATGAAAACTGTTCCATAAACAGACTTTTTATTTTTTTAACATCTTTATTGGAGTATAATTGCTTTACAATGTTGTGTTAGTTGCTGCTGTATAACAAAGTGAATCAGCTATATGTATACATATATCCCCATATCCCCTCCCTCTTGCGTCTCCCTCCCACCCTCCCTAGCCCACCCCTCTAGATGGTCACAAAGCACCGGGCTGATCTCCCTGTGCTATGCGGCAGCTTCCCACTAGCTATCTATTTTACATTTGGTAGTCATAAACAGACTTTTAAATTACCTCCAAGTTCTCAACCCTGTACTCACTGTCAAAGTTACATGGTTCCTCCAATTCCCAAGCCTATCTGAAATTTTGAAGGGAGAATCAACTTACTTTTCATTGGTCTTCTTTTGTGAGCACTTGGGATGAGACCTTCCTCCATTCTGTTCAGTCATTTACCAGTCATTCATATGCTTTTCCTCCTCATATACTGAGGTTAGGAGTTACTGATGAAGCCTGGTTTCATCAAACATGGAGAAGAAAGAGATAAAAAAATAAAATCAATGCACCAGTCCATGATATCCAATATCTGACTATTAGGTGTACTAGAAAGAGACAACAGTATAAAGGAGAGAAGGAAATATTAAAGAAAGAATACAAGATTATTCCCCAGAACTAAAGGACATGAGACTCCAGATGAGTCTCCAGCTAGAAAAGCCCACTGAGTGTCCAGCACGATGAATGAAAAAAATAGCCCCAGTAAGGCTTATCATCATTACATTTTGGAAAAATCAGTGCTAAAGATAAGTTATTCTAAGCTTCCAGAGGGGGAATAATCATAACAGGACACAAACAGAGATCAAGAATACTGATTGGAAAAAAAAAAAAAAAAGAATAAAGAAACCGAATTGGAATCAGAATCACATTCAATTCCTCAATAGCAACACTGGAAATTAAACACTGGGGATTTTTTTTTTCCAACTTAGAAATACACACCCAGCCAAACAACAAGAAGTTCTAGAAAAGAATAAAGACATTTTCAGATATTCAAATTCTCAATTTACTTCCGATGCATCTTTTCTTAGGAAACATCTTGAGAGGAACGTATGAAATCCAGGAAACAGTGAACGGAACGTAGAAGAGATGCAGAGAGAGATCCCAGAATGCAATTGTGCATGAGGCCAGAGCAGGGCTACTTGAAACGTGGAAATAAAACCAATATATCATTTGCAGAAAAGTGTTGCAGATAGCTCACTGAAAGATCCTTTCCTATTGAACACCAGAAACAAAATGCAGAAAAGAAAAAGATCAGTGGTTATTTTAAGGGAATTTCTGGAGAAAATGTATTTAAAGGAACTTTAGAATATAGTTAAATGTAGTTAACTATATATAGTTTAAATACAGTTCACATGATTATATGAACACATTCCTAGGGCCACACTCAGAGCTTCAGAAGGGGCTGGTGGAAATACAGGACCCTGTAGCTCAAGCTTCATTGGTGTCAAGGCAAATCTATCTTTAGCACAGGCATTGGCACTTTTCTGAGGGTACCATCAAAGAAGCTCCTTCAAGTAGCTTTTGGGACAGTTCCACCTCATTGTTTTTAGAGTCATACCATGTCTGTCTTAAAATGAGAAGTATGTTCTTTGCACACATAATTTTATTGAACACTTGATCTTTGCCAGACACTGTTCTAGGAATTTTACAAATACTACTACAAGCATGAATTAATTCTCACCATAACTCTGTGGGCAGATACTATTATTATCTCTTTTACAGATATAGGAAGTGAGGTTCAGAAGATAAAACTATTTGCCCAAGGTCATGTAGATAAGTTGTAGAGGCAGGATTTAAAGTTAGGTCTCTATGATCCCAGAACTCTAACTTGTTTCACCACAGCCAAAACTCCAAAATTCTTTTCATTTACCTGATTCTTCCACTTTCCTTATCTGTCATTGAGCTTTTCCAGCTGCTTCTGACCATGGCATTCTTTGTTTAAAACCCTTGGTTTTCTTTGGCAGTAGCTATGGCTGCCATCAGCACAAACAATGCTATCACCGCTGTTATGCCAGCAAGGTGAGAAGGAGACTCCCACCTCTTGCAGTATTTACAGGATTTTTTCCAAGCATCCTGACTCAGATTCCTGGATCTGTGTATTCTAACTATAAGGGATGTAGTACTCTATATCAATCAGAGTATCAAGGCATATACTACATCCATATAATATACAGCAGCCAACCCTCTTTCTGGACCCTTAGCAGAGCCTTCAACAGCCCGTTCTATTGTTCTATCAGCTATTCTGTAAGCCCTCAGACAGTGGTGCCAGTGTGGGCAATGTGGGCAGAGAAGGTGAGTCTAGAGTAAAAAACCATTCAGCTGAGGAAGGATCACTGCCCTCTTCAGGACAGATGAGATCCAAGTAATTGATCTGACACCAGGTAGCTGGCTGGTCTCCCTGAAGAACGGTGCTGTATGAGGGCTGCCACACGTTTGGGCACCTCGCTGTGGCAGATGCTAGATCAGCTTTAGTGAAAGGAAGTCTACCCACTGGGTGTATTTCCTTCTCCACTGTCCTTCAGAGCCCCTGCTGATTGGAGCTAGAATGGGACAGCAATCCATTTCCACACGGTGCCAACATATTGCCCTGACCCATCTGCTAATCAGGCCAGAATCCGTTCCTCCTCTGTCAGTTAATAGCAGCAGACAGCACACCACCACCAACAACAACAACAACATCAGGCAACACAGGTGTGGCTTGAAAGAGGGGTGGTGCCACAGAAACAGGTGACACCTGTCTGGACCATCTGCTCTGATGCTTTGTTCATGCCTGCTGGACCTGCTTGAGCCCAGTCCCAACTGTATCACTTCCATCCACAATAGACTGTTGCTGTTCATGCCCAACCTTACAACTCGGTATGTCAGTTAACACCCATTTTACTATGAGGAGCTCGTTTTCACAGTCGGTGTCTGTGGTGGACATACCTAAGGTGACTCCCAATGAGTCACATGCTTATATAATGCTTTCCCCTTATGTGTAGGCAGAACCTGTGACTTGCTTCTAGCCAACAGAAGATGGCCAAGGTGACAGGACAATCACTGCAGTGATTATGTTACATTATATAAACTCCACCTTGGCAGACTGGAGTGCTTCTCCTCCTGGCCTCTAAGAACTAAACTGCATGGCAACTACAGTTAATAATATGGTATTGTATACTTGAAAGTTGCTGAGAGTAGATCTTAAACATTCTCACCAAAAAAAAGAAAAAAAGTTAACTATGTAAGGTAATGGATGTGTTAATTATCTTGATCTTGGCAATCATTCTACAATGTATATGAAGAAGAAGGAGAAAGAGACGGAGAGGGAGGAGGAGAAGAAGAAGAAGAGAAAGAGGAAGAAGAGGAAGGACGAAACGGCAATGTTGTAGGAGGACCTGTGTGAGGGCCATGTGACAAGAAACCACGGGCAGTCCCTGAGACTAAGAGAGGTGCCTGGTCAACAACCAGCAAGCAAACAGAGACCTCAGTCCTACAGCTGAAAGGAGCTTAATTCTGTCAACAACCACATGAGCTTGAAAGAGGACCCTGAGCTCCAGAAAGGAATGCAGCCTGGCCAATACCTTGATTGCAGCCTTGTGAGACCCTGAGCAGAGGATTCAGCTAAGCCAAGACCAGACTCCCAACACATGGAAACTACCAGATAATAAATGTGTGGTGTTTTAAGTTGCTAAGTTTTTGACAATTGTGTAACTCAGCAAGAGATAACTAATACAGTGCCCCATGATGAGCTGCTCAGTCTTACTAGCACACTAGATGATGTTTTTAAAAGAACAGTTTTCTGGTGGGAATGCAAATTGGTAGAGCCACTATGGAAAACAGTATGGAGGGTACTCAAAAAATTAAAAATTAGAATTACCACACAATATAGCAGTTCCACTCCTGGGTATTTATCCAAAGAAAATGAAAACACTAATTCAAAAAGATATATGTACCCCAATGTTCATTGCAGCATTATTTACAATAGCCAAGATATGGAAACAACCTAAATGTCCATTGGTAGATAAATGGATAAAGGAGATGTGGCATACACACACACACACACACACACACACACACAGAGGAATATTACTTAGCCATAAAAAATGAAATCTTACCATTTGTGACAACATGGATGGGTCTAGAGGGTATTATGCTAAGCAAAATAAGACACAAAGAAAAATATCGTATGATCTCACTTATATGTGGAATCTGAAAAACAAAGCAAACAAAAACAAAATGAAAACAGACTCATAGATACAGAGAACAAACAAGTGGTTGCCAGAGGTGAGGGGGTGGGAGTGGGGCAAAATAGGTGAAGGGGTTAAAAGGTATAAACCTCCAGTTATAAAATAAATAAACCATGGGGCTATAATATACAGCATAAGGAATATGGTCAATTACATTGTAATAATTTTATATGGGGACAGATGGATACTACTATTATCATGGTGATTATTTCATAATGCATGCAAATGTCAAATCACCATGTAGTATACCTGAAACTAACATAATATTGTACGCCAACCACCAAGGGCATGACCCTGCTCCAGAACCTTAGAGATCTGCACTGTGACTTTCCTAGGGTTTGCCAAAGGCTTAATCTAGCACCACTGGATCTGATACATCATAAGGCCCAGAAGGCAGATCAGCTTGTCAGGTGGTCTAGTCCTCCTGCAGAGCCCTCTCTTGCTCTGGGCCTCACGTGAACCCAGCAGCCTTCTAGATTACCAAATAAATGAGTCAGAGGTGTGTTCCATGTGTTGTATCCAAAATCCCAAAAGATCTATCAGTGCTGTGCCTCTTTCTTAGTGGTAGGAGGTATAAAGTACAGGGTTTTGTCCTTTGCCTTTGAGAGTATATTCTGCCCCAGACCCTCAAACCTGCAGAAATTCATGATGTAAATATATTCATCAATATAGTGGGCTAGTGTGATATTCTTCAGTGTCAAGATGTATAAGCCCTGAATACAATATTATTATAGAAAGTATGAGAGCTAAAATAGGCCTGAGGTAAGACAGTGAGCATGTCCTTGCCATATAAAGGTGAACTGATTGTTAATTCTTTATTGATGTATGATTTACATACAAAAACTATACAGTTCTTAGTTTTGACAGCTGTATATACTGATGTAACCACCACTCAAAATAAGATATGCAACATTTCCATCACCTTGGAAAGTTCCCTCCTGCCCTTTCCAGTTAATCCCGACACCCATCCAGAGGCAACCACTTTCTGATTTTCTTTCTCCATAGATTTGTATTGTCTGTTCTTGGAAGTCGTTTAAATGGAATCATGCAGTATGTATTTTGGGGTATATCTGACTTCTTGCATGCAAATAATGTTTTTGAGATTGTGAACTGCTTTCAATTCTCCCTATGAATGAGCATAAAAAATTTCTAGAGCAGGGTGTGTACTTTTCTTTCAAAGCTGTGTCAAGATGTAATTCTGGTTATTAACTGGAGGTAGTGAGGATGGTGAGATGCATCTTGAGAAAAAAGGTCATCTCACAAGGCAGCTGCTTCAGGTGAAATCATTACATAATCTCCATGAAAAGGAAACTTACTCTCCTCTGGCAAGGGAAAAGCAGCTGCTTCTGCCAGCAAGAAAAGCTCGGGGAAACTGGAGGTTCATAATACTTGGATTCATCTATCCAAATAACCACTCCAGATCTCCATGTTCCAATTTTTCCCTATCTGATCTTGAAAAAATGCCCTGACAAGGTTGTATATTTAGTCTTTTTTGCACCTCTGCTACCCTTATTATCGGATCCTGAGCCTGATTTTTAGTATAGTCTGTCCTGCAGCTGCAGGAGATAAGGATCTCCTTTAAATCTTCCACAGAGGCAGAGTTCCTCCTGCAGTCAAAAGCAACAATTCTACTCCAAGATCCTTATAAATAACATTGTCCATATATCGATTAAGTGCCACAGTCACTTGACCTCCGCATATCTTGCCTTGTGCCTACATATCATACCAATAAAATACCACATAGCACAGGTGAAAGCCCGAGAGATTGCAATGCCATTTCATGGCAGGGGTTATCTTCACACACTTAACACCAGCAATAGGGTCCCTACTGCTTTTATTTTTTTTTTAATTTATCCTTTGGGGGTTTTTTTTTTGATAATTTATCCTTTGTTTTTATTTATTTTTTAATTTTTATTTTATATTAGAGCATAATTGATTAACAATGTTGTGTTAGTTTCAGGTGTACAGCAAGGTGATTCAGTTATACATATAGATGCATCAATTCTTTTTCAAATTCTTTTGTCATTTAGATTATTACAGAATATTGAGCAGCGTTCCCTGTGCTATACAGTAGGTCCTTGTTGGTTATCTATTTTAAATATAGAAGTGTGTACATGTCGATCCCAAACTCCCAGTCTACCCCTCCCCCCAACCGTTCCCCCTGGTAACCATAAGTTCCTTCTCTAAATCTGTAAGTCTGTTTCTGTTTTGTAAATAAGTTCATTTGTATCATTTTTACAGCTCATGTGACTCAATATCCCCAAAACAAACAACCCAGTCAAAAAAGTGGGCAGAAGACTTAAATAGACATTTCTCCAAAGAAGACATACAGATAGCCAAGAGGCATGTGAAAAGATGCTCAACATCGCTAATTATTAGAGAAATGCAAATCAAAATTACAATGATGTACCAATTCACACTGGGCAGAATGGCCATCATTAAAAAGTCTATAAATAACAAATGCTGGAGAGGGTGTGGAGAAAAGGGAACCCTCCTACACTGTTGGTGGGAATGTAAATTGGTACAACCACTATGAAGAACAGTATGGAGGTTCCTTAAAAAACTAAAGCTAGTGGGAAGCAGCCGCATAGCACAGGGAAATCAGCTCGGTGCTTTGTGACCACTTAGAGGGGGTGGGATAGGGAGGGTGGGAGGGAGGGAGACACAAGAGGGAAGAGATATGGGAACATATGTATATGTATAACTGACTCACTTTGTTATAAAGCAGAAACTAACACACCATTGCAAAACAATTATACTCCAATAAAGATGTTAAAAAAAAAAACTAAAAATAGAGCTACCACATGATCCAGAGATCCCACTCCTGGGCATATATGGGGAGGAAAACATGGTTCGAAAGGATACATGTACCACAATATTCATTGCAGCATTGTTTACAATAGTCAAGACATGGAAGCAACCTAAATGCCCATTAACAGATAAAGAAGATGTGGTACATATATACAATGGAATATTACTCAGCCATTAAAAAGAATTAGGTGGGCCTTCCCCTGGCACGAGCGTCCCGATGGGAAAAAAAAAAAAGAATTAAATAATGCCATTTGCAGTAACATGGATTGGACATGGAGATTATCATACTAAGTGAAGTAGGTCAGACAGAAAACGACAAATATCATATGATATCACTTATATGCAGAATCTAAAAAAAAGAAATGATACCTACTGCTTTTAGACAGGAGAACAACACAGCTCCCAAACCCCATCCTGATAGTCTGTTTTCTAGAACCATTTCTAATATCAAATGTCTTAGCCAGGGTCTTATAAAACAGAACCTGAGGGCTTCCCTGGTGGCACAGTGGTTAAGAATCCGTGTGCCTACTCAACCATAAAAAGAAACGAAATTGAATTATTTGTAGTGAGGTGGATGGACCTAGAGTCTGTCATACAGAGTGAAGTAAGTCAGAAAGAGAAAAACAAATACCGTATGCTAACACATGTATTAACACATATATATGGAATCTAAGAAAAAAAAAGTTCATGAAGAACCTAGGGGCAAGACGGGAATAAAGACGCAGACCTACTAGAGAATGGACTTGAGGACACAGGGAGGGGGAAGGGTAAGCTGGGACAAAGTGACAGAGTGGCATGGACATATATACACCACCAAACGTAAAACCGATAGCTAGTGGGAAGCAGCCACATAGCACAGGGAGATCAGCCCGGTGCTTTGTGACCACCTAGAGGGGTGGGATGGGGGGGTGGGAGGGAGGGAGATGCAAGAGGGAAGAGATATGGGGATATATGTATATGTATAGCTGATTCACTTTGTTATAAAGCAGAAACTAACACACCATTGTAAAGCAATTATACTCCAATAAAGATGTTAAAAAAAAAAAAAAAACAGAATCCGCCTGCCAATGCAGGGGACAAGGGTTCGAGCCCTGGTCTGGGAAGATCCCACATGCCGCGGAGCACCTAAGCCCACGAGCCACAACTACTGAAGCCCGCACGCCTAGAGCCCAAGTGCCGCAACTACTGAAGGGTGCATGCCTAGAGCCCGTGCTCCACAACAAGAGAAGCCACCACAGTGAGAAGCCCGCGCACTGCAACGAAGAGTAGCCCCTGTTCGCCACAACTAGAGAAAGCCCGTGCGCAGCAACAAAGACCCAACTCAGCCAAAAATAAATAAATAAATTTATTATTTTTTTTAAAAGAAAAAACAGAGCCTCAGTCAGAAAATCAAGTACTAACCATATGGGAGTTGTGCAAGCCTAAGGCAACAAGGATGAGGAAAAAAGGCAAGTGAGGCAAGGAAAGATGTAAAACAATGTGACACAATGCATTACTTCACTGGCCATCATGTCAGAAACTGCAGGTCACTTGCCAGGTGTGTTTGCTCACAATGGTTGAAAGGAAAACACGCATACACGTTTCAGAGTTGTACACAACGGGAGAAATTAGGAGAAATTGATCTGCCTGGCTCCCTCCTGCCTCCTCATTTCCACTAGTCAGTCCCCTACCCCAGGGTACTCATTCCCCTTCACTTCCAGTTGCATCATCTGGTCCCTTGGCAGTTTCTCACGAAGCCAGATCCCATTCCCATGGTATGGCATTTTCCCCAGGTATGGAAGTGGAGTGATAACTTGGCACTCACAGGTAAATGGGTAGAACATGAGGGTCATGCAGGTGTAGGGCATCAACTTAGACTACCTTGTAGCTCTGAAAGTTCAGGAGGGATGCTCCCAAAATGGAATGACGGCAGCACAATTTGGAAAGTGGGCAGCATCTCAGAAAAGAATCCAAGAAGGCACATAAGCTTGTGTCCAATACAGGTTAGCCCAAGTAAGACCAAAGGATAGTCTGGACTAGAGTAGTGACATTGGGGATGGAGAAAAGAGGACAGATTTAGGGTACATTTTGAAGATAGAGTCAACAGTACTTTCTAATGAACTGG